AAAAAAAGTTAAAATTTTGACAATAACATATCTAATCTTTATAAGTGTAAAGTTTTTTTTTTTTCATGGCGCCATGATGGCTCAACCATATATCAACCATATCGAAATATTTGGGGATGAAGACGAACATAGATTCAACACACACTTTTTATCACCGTCTCGGTCACGAAGAAGAGAGGGCTTTTCCTGCAAACTGATACATAACAAATTGACTTCAACGTGAAAACTGTTAATAAACAAAATAGACAAAACTATAAATTTAAATTGGTGCTGATGAGAATTCGTCATTACAAGCCGGTGGCGGCGGCGGTAGCGGTGGCGTCGCGAAAATAGACCGCCACCTCGGAATATGAATAAATAAACTAGCTATTTACAACTGTGTAATAACATTGGTGCCGTTGACAAAAATAATTTATCATTCTAAAATATACTTCGTCTATGGAACTTGCCTAAACATCTGTTTAAATCAGATATCTACATTACGTTACGTCTAGAAGCATATATGCGCGTCCAAATTGTAAAAGAACTGTAAATAATTCAAAATAATTTACATCAACCAAACAAAACCTGTGTATTTGTCACATTATATCCATTTCTAGGATATGAAAAATAGTGGAACGCAGCACCAGTACTATGTACTATTGGGAAGTTCGTTTTAATAATGGATGCATTGCCTGCAGCTATGACCACATAACCTACAATAGCTGTAAGCTTTATGTATATCTTTTTTATATTTATATATTTATGTAAGCTTATTTTACAATATAATAATATATAGAAACAATAATAATGGTATACAATTAACACTTTCTATTATATTGTAAATTCACAATTTTTCCCCTTCACAACAATTTTTTACAGATAATTAACTACATCGCTTCTTTCTATCTTTAAATTATAATTACTGACGCGCTTATTACTACTAGACTACTTATACTAGATCTTATTTTAATATTACTCAAAAAAAAATAAAGATAAAAAACAAGTGTATTTTAATATTTCAAACAGTAAAAAAATAAACTACTCCGTAAGAAAATTGACATCACTTAAGCCATTATATATCCAGAAAGTAAAACCTTTAAATAAAAAAAAAATGGTTAAAATCTGTTCGCAATTGGCGCAAATATTGTGTATTACGCAACGTAAAAAAAAAGAAAGAAACATACATTCGAATTAGACCCATGTTTTTTAGTGTGATGAAAACAACACTAAGGTTGCCAGAACAGAATACCTCGGAAAGAAAGGTTCAGGGCCGGTATAACTAACATGATACATCTGGTGTTGCTGGCAAGATATATAAATATGATAACAGGTCTCGATCAATATCAATTGGCGGCTTTGCTGTTTACCACCTTTGTTGTATAAAAATGACGTAATTGATATAATAATACTGCTTATATATTTATTATAGGCAAGCACGCGTAAAGGGCATAATCTCATATAGTGCAGAACATTTTATTTATAAAGTGTTCGCAATACTCATCATGTCCAAATTTAACTGAGACTTAAATCCAAACCTGTGTGATGGATCTGTGATACCTACAACCGTTTCTCAAGTTATGTATTCATATATCTCTATGGTATTTAGCTGTATATTTCTTTAGGTTAATAAGAACAAGTCACAGTTGAAATCGATTGTAGGATTCATTATCAAAATCAGTACAAAGTTGTTGAATATCCCACTCAAAACAACACAAAGAATATACTGGCAATTTGAGAACGTACTATTTTTTGATGTAACTAAAAACTAAAAAAAATGGCTTTACAACTTCAATGTATTATATATATATAATTTAAAGATATATCTATAACGATCCTAAATATTAAAAAAAAAACGAATGCAAACTTATGAATTACTTGACGGAGTCGTATAGTATGTGTGCGCAGTCCACAATATTATGGTCTGAGCAGACAAGACTTTTGTCGAATAAAATGTGGATTTTTTTGTGTGCGAATTAATAGCCGTTTTCCATTACGTGAGCAAGCAACTATTTTACAATTCACAGCTAATAAAAAATGGGTTTAAACTCGGTAGGTATTAAAAAATAAGAAAATTCACATTAAATAAAAAGTGACAAATTCCAGCGCAAATAAATTTTCGCGTTAGACAAAAGCGGTTCTTGTGGCGGGCCATCAGCATGTTACGCTTAGTTGTGTTTGGCCCTAAGTCAAAATTTTACGGAAGTGACCGCGGCCGCGGCCAAGGGCGGCTATTCCTGACCAACATGCAATTTACTAAGAATACACAAATCATTAAGAGTAGCTACTTAAGTGAAAAGGTAGATTTATAGTTGCAACTTCATCTGTAACTTTCTAATCGTATTTATAGCATTTTTAAGTGAATTAAAAAAGATACGTTTCTATTACGCAATATCTTCGCCAATTCTGAACCGATTTTGATCATACATTTTACAGTTGATAGGTTTACTCCCGTCTTGGTGTTTCCATATTCATTTTATTCTGATTTTTCACGTGCCAGTTTTTCTGTCACAATTTTCTTTTTTATACCACTGAGGTGACAATAATTTTAATAATAATGTAACAATTTTTTGCCGCCAAGCATGTGCTTGCCTGGCTGTTTCAATTTGAAGGGCAGTAAAATTATTGAATACAGGATAATACATTTAGTTTTCAGGAATAGCAGCTCATGAGGCGTATCATGAGATTACAAGGTATGGCTACGATGTCCACGATAATATATATATATATATATATATACTTCCATCAGTCCGTCAGTCAGGTTGTTTGCCATTCTAATAATATACGAATATATAAGAAACTTGTAGCTGTAGTGGTGATAGGCGATAATCAATTCAATCAATTGTTATTCAAATTATGCCACGCATAACGGGTCCAATTAAAATTAACTGGTCATAACCGCTAGACATTTATGAATCCATAATAAGTATCCAGCTGTCAACATTGTCTACATATAACATGTTGATAGATAATGCGTAGATTATCATAAAATAATAATAACTACCTAATACAAAGTAACATCAGGATGTGGAATAAAATGTGTCAATCTTTCTCTTCCGGATATTATTCCAATTATATTCAATTAGAAAAATCCAGTAATCCAATTTCATTACAAGTATCAAAAATAAAAAAATAAATAAACACTCAGTGCATTTATTAATATTCATAAATCATTATTCATGAATATATTGTATTACAAAAATTCTTTTAAACTCATAATTGCAAATATGTATTAAATAGTTATTTAACAAAGCATAATACAAATACTAGAGAAGGAAGACTCGAAATAAAATTCTATACCAAAGGACACGGCTAATATGAAATAAAAAATTGGGTAATATAGAAAAAATAAAGAACTATCCTCATCTTATGGGGTCGTCACCGTGCTCAGCGCGGGACTAAATGGTTGCTGGGAGCTATAACACCTACAAAACCACAGACATAAAAAACAGGAACAATTGCTTCAAACCGATAACACTCACCTTTTTACATTTAAATATAAAACTAATTACAATATATTTACTCTCTTTTTGTCGATTAAAAAAATATTCCCGTTAATGTTATATTAATATCCCCTCGCATAATTTGGTCAGATTATAATTCTCCTTTACATAGTTGGTATTAGATACAATTTTCTAACATATTACAACCCATCATAAGCCATAATAATCTATACAATAGAGGATTACAACAATGGACACCTAAGATGAAGACGCTAAAGACTTGATACGCTAATTACAAAACCACATTAAGTAACGGATTAGTTCATTCAACATCATATTATTATAGATTTTTTTACTATCAAAATTAAGAGTTCAAAACAATGCGTACAATATAATCAATATGTTCGTATGCTATACCCATTTCCATCCGTCAGCACGTTGTTGTTGGTTTTCAAATTCAAGTCTTATTTGCACTAGTGATCTAGTTTTTTTTAGTCCGATATTTTTTAATACATATTTTGAAATATATATCTTATTGTATAAAGACACTAATTTATCTATCAAGTTTTATTACACTTTTACGGCACTTTTAATTATTTGAAAGTCAAAGTGCCTCCATATCAATTCCTACGGGTTTCCCTTTAAATCGTGGTAATAAAATTGTGATAACGCCTATTCTGTTATAAATATGTAATTTAATATTTTGATATAACAGTAATTCATAATAATATATATCTAATAGTCCTAAAGGAAAACGTAGCAAACCCACCACACACAGTAACTACTCGTAGTTCAATTGCGTAAAAATAAAAATGAATGTACTCTAAACTAATTTACTATCAGTCTGGTGTTACAAGAAATTACAAACAATTCGATTCAAGTTTATCTTTACAAGAATGTTTACTTATAGCTACCAGATTCTATTTTTTCAGAATCTTTCAGAGATAATAAACACTTTGACTATTCTCACAAGCTGTGTCAGTTTTACGTTACTGTTCTATTTCTGTAGAGCAATAAGAAATGTTTTGTTCTAAAACATATACAGGAATAAAAATCTTCCATTGCTAAACCGCAGACTAAACGTCCACACCACAAAATAGAATTTGTGTTTATGCAACTTAGAATAGGAAACAAGCTGACGACCTGATGGGAATTTAATAGTACCATTTAAAATAATAGAGTATACTATTTCGCCCATGATACCCATGCGTTGCCATTCCTGAGAACTAAAGTGTTATAGCTCTGTATCCAGTAAATTTATTGCCATATCCTACCCTCCAAACTAAAATACAGTCATGCAAACACAACTGCTTCACGGTAGAAACACGAATGGGAGAGAGGCACCGAAGCAAACGACTTTTGTTCAGTCTCCCTTTGGTAGACTATAGCTTAAATATTTATCGATAATAAAAATTAAATAAAAAAAAATCTGAAATTTATCTTAATGTATGTGTGATTGTGTGAGTAGTTAACATTAAATTTAGAAGTCTGCCTTGATTTTCCTTACTACTTACTATTTGAAACTGAACTATTTAAATAATCTTTTCTGGTTCAGGAATACAATTTAACATTTTCCAGATCGGCCACTGCAGTTAATATCCGGCAGCCTGGGAGTTCGGTCTGAACTCTGAAATGCAATCAGCTAAGGAACTAAAGCAAAATGGATTGGAGAACTAAGAGAAAAAAAAATAAAAAAGCTATAGCAAACCTCCTACTTAGGTAGTAGGAGATTTGCTATAGCTATAGCTAGAGCTAATATCTAGTTAATACACTAATTATTATTTTTATTATTATATCAACCGTTAACTGTCCACTACTGGACTTCTCTAAAAGGAGGGGTGTTGCCAATAGTCGCCGCGCTTGGCAGGCGGGTTGGCAACCGCAGTTAGACTTCGGTGATGTTTTAAGAAGGACGCTATTGCCCATCCCGTGAGCATTAAATATTCTCTTATTGAGAAAAACGCAAAGCCAGCACTATTACTGAGCACAGTATATATTTATATATCTACGATGAAGATTACAATATTTTTTTTAAAAGAAATACTAGACTCATATGTTATACTGACGATCTTTTCAAATTGTAATAAACTTTTAATTGGTGATTTATATAAATACTACATAAAGGTAATCGTCATATATATATATATATATATATATATATATATATATATATATATATATATATATATATATATATATATATATATATATATATATATATATATATATATATATATATTTATTAATATTATAACTCTTTCATACAGCCTGTCTTACAAAATGTTAAACATCTCAACACTCAGGCTATATCTATACTTATAATAAATCTGTAGAGTGGTCAATTCATACATGAAATATTTTTCCAAAATCAGAGAATGATTATTGATCGATACTGATGCCAAAAATGCAATCGGTAAAATTTTTGTCTGTCTGTCTTTATATTTGTTATAAAAACAAAAACCACTCGACGGATTTTAACGAAACTTGGCACAATTATTCCTCATACTCCTGGGCATGATATAGTATACGTTTCATCACGCTACGATCAATAAGAGCAGAGCAGTGAAGGGAAATGTTGGGAAAACGGGAGAAGTTACTCCATTTTTAAGCTTCCATCGCGTGTGCAGCCTTAATGGCCACTTTTCAAAATGTAAAAATGACCACCTGTGCGAAGCCGGGACAGGCCGCTATTATAAAATAAACGACGCATACAAACAATCGACAATACGACAAAAATCGTATACATTCATTGATCGTATAAAAGAAATATAATCTAGAAATATTGTACTAATAACTAAAAATAATAATAGACTGTACCAAACTGTGTAGTGTGTATGTTATGAGTACTTAACTATTATTTAGGTATAATCAACTGTTGACCGAGTTTTAAATTGTTTATTTTATTATAAACACATTATCTCTTTAGTATGTTTGTGTCGAAATTATCCAAAGCAATCGAGGTCATAATACCAAATACAAACGTGGTGGATGAAATGTTTTTTTTATACAACTTAGAATGGCAAACAAGCTGACGACCCACCTGATGGAAAACGGTAACCGTCGCTTATAGACATGAGCAGTCTCATGGACATAACAAAGTATACTGTTTCGCCTATGATACCCCCCATGCGTTGCCATTCCTGAGGACTCAGGTGTCATTCCTCTGTACCCTGTAAATTCATGCCATATCCCACCCTTCAAACCGAAACATAGCCATGCAAACACAACTACTTTACGGTAGAAACACGAATGGGACAAAGGTACCCAAGCAAACGACTTTTGTACAAAGTCTCCTTCTGGTAAACTTGTATTGTAATGTGCAAGATCATTATTGTTATATTGGTGCACATTGGTGCTGAGTGCGAGTACAAGTAACTCAACAAACGAGAAAATGATTCGTTAGTAATTAGTGAGGCATTGGGATTCCATTTAAAACTGGTAATAAATGTGTTTAATCGCGTTTAACTTTCCATTAAAAATATAATTAACACCATTTTCAACCAACTTAAAAAAGAAGATGGTACTCCAATCGGGTATGTTTTTTTTTTTATGTTTTTAATATTTCGTTCGTCATACATCCTATCATAAAAGTCAATCATATTTTAACATTTTTAATATTTCTATATAACATCAAATTTGTGTTTCGTTTGGCTCCGAAATTTCGGAAAACATTTCATGGTAGGCCCTCTGATTCCCACGTGAATCAATATACATATAAAAAATCCTATGTGTTACGATATAATCTGTTTACCAAATTTCATTTAAATTCGCTACTCACTTTAAGCATGATTCAAAAATCTTCATAAAATTTTATATTTATAATATTAAGTAGGATAACAAATTATTAATGACAATTAGAATAATTTAAAAGGGATTAAATTTAACCTTCACGACACTTTATCTTTATTTGTAATGGGGATGGAGAGGCAAAAATGTCAATACCTTAGGCCAATACAATTTGCGACTCGCATCAAGGTCTGATCGATGGAACTAACCTTGTCAAATGGCACCGTATAGAACCATTAACCAACTTAGGAGTAGGGTTAGAATCTTTATAGAAAGACTTTCTAGTGAGAAAATAAAAAACACTTTTTAGTACTTGCGTTTTACATTTATATCCGAACAAAAATTAATATTCCTAAATTGGATTTAAAAAGTACATAACGAGTTACAAATAAAATACGATGGAAAAGTTCCAAAATCTTTTTTCGAAAAAAAATAACCTTACAAAACTCAAGATTACGAAAAAATAGCTAATCCGAAACTACATTATTTAACCCTAACATATTAGATTCCTTTATTTGTTTATATAGTATGTTCGAACAACTGTCCCATTTCAGTAGAGAGTTTGCAAATTGTTATGACAGAGTTGCTAACTAAGTCAGTATTAGCCGGAATGTTAGAGGAAATGAATATTTAAACAATGCTTACCAATTTCCAAGTTGTATAAATCATTGTATGTATATAGTAAATTCAGAATTTTTTGCGAAACTAAAAATGTGCTATATGATACAATACTTAAATACTAATATTATATAAATGTTTAAGCTCCCTTTCGAGGTTGTACGTTTGTCACGTCTCGGTGCCTTGTCCGCTCAACCAATTATCATTAACGTACACCTAGTATTTAGAATGTGGAATGAAAACGGCTACCTTTTATCCCGGTTAATTAACATATCTTGATCACGCAGGTCAAGTCGCGGGAAAACTCTTGTATAGTGGTACTAGTTACTTTTCAAAGAACCTTTTTCACAGACATCTAAAAATTTATATACATACAAATTTTCCTGTCTAAACCAATATTTAAAACTATTTCCAATTTATTATAATCTATTATTGTTTTCATATTATGTATGATACATATCTGCCATGCCTGACTCCCATTAAGTGTCAATTGTAAAATATTGAATGCGGTATAAAATAAAATTAAACAAATCTAAGAAAGAAATTATGTTATGGATTATTTGTAATAGTTTCACCTTTATTATATAGTACGAAAACTAATATATTTTCATAAATTTATTATTTAGAAGAGCAAATTAAAAGTTTTATGATAAAAGAAGCGAAAGAGGTTTGTTTGAATTAAGATTTGGCGTTCCATTGTTTCTGTGTCCGGGAGACAGGCGTGACAGATATGTATGTATGTATTTATTATTTAGAAGCTGTGTCCGTGACTAGACTGCGTGGACGTTCCTGATCGAAGAAGATAAAAATTAATTATATCTTTCATCATATACTATATGACAGGTATATACCAAATTTCATGACAATTAGTTAAAATATTAAACGCCAAGACAAAAAAAAAACTCACATCAATATTTATTAATAGAAATAAGGATCAAACAAAAAAACTATAATGAACTACAAGATATGTTAGGAACAGAGACAACAAATTGCGTTGGTGAATGTGTGAAAATTTATGACTACAATGACCTACGCCTTTCCAAAAACGGATGTAGGATTGACAGAGAATAATAGCTTTATTGGTCTACATGATAGTGTTGTAGATAAACGCATAAATATGTAAATGTATGACCATATGTATACAATCCATGAATTGTCTCATAATATATCTACTTCAACTACATCAAAATAAACAAACAAACAAACAGTATACTCTGTTATGTACATGGTACTGTTCATATCTATACGCGATAGTTATCACTTCCCATAAGGTGGGCCGTCAGCTTGTTTGCCATTCTATGTAGGATAAAAATATAAATCATCATATCAGCCCTTAACTGTCCATTGCTGAACATAGGCCTTCCATATAAGGATGGTTTTGCCAATAGTTACGCTGGGCAAGCGTGTTGCCAATGCAGTGAACCTTTTGATGATGTTTTAAGAGTGATGCTGCTGCCCATCCCTCGACCATTAAATTCTCTTCATGATCTCTTACGACACCTGCTTTATCTACTTACAAGGTTAGAAATAGAGGCTAAAATAAATACTATATAAATACATTTTGATCCACAATTAAAAACTGTGTTCGACAAAAGAAACCAACTTCAATTGTAGCAAAATAAATTTTTATTTCAAAACTAAACTACTGAATCGATTTATGATAAAATTTCCATAGGAGGAATATTTTTATTTGTAAGGATATACTTAATACAAATATACTTATATAATAAAAATATTTTTCATAATCGGTTTATAACGAACGGAATTATGAGGTAACAAACAAAAAAACCTCTTCCTTTTCGTGGATATCGTAAGAGGCGACTAAGAGAACTTAATGGTCGAGAGATGGGCAGCAATATCCCTCTTAAAATATTACCAAAGTCTAAGTGCGGTTACCAACCCGCATGCCAAGCATGGCAACCACTAACAAAACCTCCTTTATGTATAAAATCAATGTTCAGCAATCGACAATAAACGACTAATATGATGATGATGATAAAACATAAAAAATACAACCCAATTGAACCTCGTTCTTTTTGAAATCTGTTATAAAAGCAACTTCAATCGAAACTAGACGATGTTTCGTAGACAACACAGTGCATGTAATCAACGGTAGACACATTACATTGCAAATTCGTATTCAAATTCAAATAATAGTATTTACCCGTGTACATATTTGAATTTAGAACGCGGAATCGAATATAAACTCTATAGATTACAAAAAGAATTGTGAATATTGGTTCAGAATTGGCAACGTAGTCACGTGACTTGTTCACAAAAAAATCAGACGAATTGTGTACCTCTTTTTTGGATCACGTAGATAATGTCATCAGATACAGTTAATACGAACTGTTTGCAAGCTACTATAAGGTAACAAACGCAACAGGAAATAAGGAAGCACTCGAATTTAGTACTTACTCGTCTCTCAGACGAATTGATATTCACAGGGTTTCAAGGCAATCAAGTTCCGGAGGTCATCTTGGACATAGCGTAAGTATACAAACTTACGAATATTGTTAAGTAATCATTTTCTTTGCTTAACGACGAGCTTTCAAGGATATATTGTCTTGGGTTCAACATTACCAGTCCAGCATTGAAATAATAATCACTACATAGTATAAAACAAAGTCGCTGTTGCTGTCTGTCCGTCTCTATGTATGCTTAAATCTTTAAAACTATTTTGAAGCGGTTTTTTTTTAATAGATAAAGTG